AGACTCAGGGTCTGGGGCAGTGGGGCCTCCGGAGGAAACACCTTTGACAAATTTCCAAGAACTTTCCAGGAAAAGGAGGCGGGGCCCCGAGCGCCGACCTATCGTAGCGCAGGGGGCGGAGTCGAGTGACGGAGGCTGACGCGCTTTGCGGGCTTGAACTTGACCCGGAGACGAGCTGGGAAAGACCCGCTTTGGAGGAGGCCGGGGCGCGGCCGCGCCGACCGACCCGAGCCGCCCTCCTTCATGCGCTTCCCTTCGCTGGGGACAGGCGCCTTGTTTCTTTGTAGATGGCAGCGCGTGGGCGGGGTCCCAGGCCTCCTAGGCCGTCCGCCTGGTGTGCAAGCGCCTCTTGGACGCCGGACTCTGTGTGTAGGGTGGTGTGGGGAGGTGAGTGGCACGGGGTGGGGTTGGAGAGGGATATGGGGGCGGGGGGGCTGGGGAGAGGAAGGGTGCGGAGCGGGGCCCCAGATCCAAGCAGGTCCGCAGGGGTCAAGTCTGTGGCTGTCATAGCCGAACGGATCCGGGCAAGAACGTTCTCTGGGAAAGTCCAGGGAGAAGGAACGCAGCCGAGCCTTTGGCACCTGCAAGGCCATCCAGTCCCCGCCCATGCTGGCCTCTGGCCCGCCCGCCAGCCAATCAGGGAAGAAGTGACGACCCACCTGGGGAGGCAGGCAGGGATGGCCAGCCCCCAGCCGACCACACAGGGCAGCCCGCTTGTGTCTCTGGGCGGGCGGGTCTCCAAAAGTGCGGAAGTGGGACCTGGAGCTGCACACATCGGAGTTTAACCGAGGGAGGGGGATAAAGGTAGAGGGACGGAGCAGGACACCTGATTCCGATTCCATCCACATGGAGCTAAGTTTGATCCCCAGCAGCTGGTAGTGCCCCCATTTTGCAGACCAGAAGACCGAGCCCCAGGGAACACAATGCCTGGCTCGGCCGTAGCAGGGTGGGAGTTTGATCCCAGCTCTGAATCCTGAGCTCACACGCCTACCTGTGACCTTCTCCACCTTTTCCCAGTTTGCTGGACTCACCAAGGAGCCTTTTGAAAGACCATAGGGGCTGTGCACACCTCCTCCAAGCCCTTAGGCCAGAAGGAGGGTGAGAGAATTGGAGAAGTGGCAGGGTCCACCCCCCACCCCCCGACCCCTCCGTCCAGTGTATGCCCCAGGTTCCCGGGAGAGAAGAGGAGCTCAGGTCACCCACTTCGATGCTGGGGCACCTGGAGAGCCAGCAGGGGGCCCCTGGGTAAGATAGTCCTTCAATGGGAACCGTCTACTATAAAGACAAAGGGATGTCCCAGCTGCTAAGCAGCAGAGCTAGGACTTGAAGCTCGGTTTCTACGGGGGCCAATCCCAAGCTCTCCACCCTGAGGCTCTATCCTTTCTCTCTCCAGTGGTTCTCAACCTGTGGGTCGCGACCCCTTTGGCGGTCAAACGACCCTTTCACAGGGGTCGCCTCAGACCATCCTGCATATCAGATATTTACATGACGATTCATAACAGCAGTAACATTCCAGTTATGAAGTAGCAACGAAAATAATTTTATGGTTGGGTCACAACATGAGGAACTGTATTTAAAGGGCCAGAAGGTTGAGAACCACTGCAACTGGACCTACTTTACTGAACGCTTACTACGTGCCAGGCACTCACAGTCATTTCCACCTCATCTCGTTGTCTAACTACTACATGTTGTCCTCTTTTTTAAAAAAAATGTATTTTACTGATTTTTTACAGAGAAGAAGGACAGAGAGTTAGAAACATCGATGAGAGAGATCCATCAGCTGCCTCCTGCACGCCTCCTACTGGGGATGTGCCCGAAACCAAGACACATGCCCTTGACCGGAATCGAACCCGGGACCCTTGAGTCCGCAGACCGACGCTCTATCCACTGAGCCAAACCGGTTCGGCAAAAACAGGCACAGAGGGTTACCATTCGCCCTGGATCTCACAGCTAGCAGGTGGCGCCCAGGGTCCTGCCCCTCCCCACTTCCTCTCTCGGTGCCGGAAAGCGCCCCCTACAGAATCAGTGAGAGTGCAGACTGTGTGTAAGCTAAAGGTTTGCCCTCCCGCCAGCCTTTGCACATTTGACAGCGAGACGCACCTCACCCGGTGCTGTGCACAGTGTGTGCCCTGCGTGCCCCGGTGCCTGCCTGCCCCAGGTGCCCTGGGTCCCTCTGGCCACCTCATTACCACCTCTCCTGGCCTGGCAGCTCCTGGAGGTCCCTACGGACTGCTGGTCCCACACTGCCACCCACTGGCCATTCCTCCCCTGGTTTCACTTGCAAATCCATACACAGATTGTCCCTTGGAGGGGACCCCCTCCCCAACCCCCAGGGATGGGCCTCGCTCCAGGATCTCCCTGCCCCTCCCCACCCAGAGCGGTCACCAGATAGGTCACAACAGTGCACAGCAGTGCCTTCCTCAAAGTCGGGCTCGTTTGGTCTCTGTATTCTCACTAGGTACAGTCTCTCCTCTGCTGAAGGACCGACCACATGTGTAGTGTGTGTGTGTGTGTGTGTGTGTACTGAGCTCTCCCGGGCACTCACTGGGCCCTGGTCACTGTAGGCTATTCCAAAGGCCTTAGTCCCATCCCCTGAGACATGCAGGTATCACGAGGTCCGTGTGGCAGAGTCTGCCCCCATGAGCCCACTCCTGCCCCAGCCCGGCCGTCCCCAATACTGAGTCCTCCCCTGTGTGCAGGTGGCTGTGGCAGACAGCTGCTGGAACAGGAGCAGCGAGAGGAGAAACTGTGTGTTCTGACTCCTGGGTTGTGGAGAGCAGCTCCAGCGTTTGGACAGGTTCAAGCCTGGAACTAATGAGAGGGCACGTTCCTCTCGTGGCAAAACCACGTGCAAGTCCAAAGGCTACAGTTGTAAGCTTGACCTTATGGTCCGAACCTGTGGCCCCACGTGGCTGAGTGATATAGGCTGCGGGAGGTGCAAGTAAACAAAGCTTATCAGGTGCATGTAGTTGAGTAGATTGATTCGAAAACTGCGAGAACATTGTAAACATCTTGACCACACCCTTACTTTGCCTCCTGGAATCTGGCTATAAAATAAAGACTTGGCTTGCAGGCTGTGGCACTGTCTCTCCATCCGAGAGGAGCATCTCACCCAGCCCCAGCTTTATTCTCTTGTCTGTTTTCTTTAATCCTTCACCGCCCCCCTCAGGTTCACCCATGGCTGTGCCGGCTCGGCACACGGGGTTAAGTGCAAACATCTGTCTGTGTGGGACCCAAGTGGGGAGTGTGTGCTGTGTGAGCACTGGCATTGGTTATGGAGACTGCAGGGGAGAGGCACAGCCACGGCTGACTTTGGACATTTCTGCGTAGTTTGAATTTATTATAATAAGCAAGTATTACTTATGGAATTTAAAAGTTTAGCCCTAGCTGGTTTGGCTCAGTGGATAGAGCATCGGCCTGTGGACTGAAGGGTCCCAGGTTCTATTCCAGTCAAGGGCACATGCCTGGGTTGTGGGCTTGACCCCCAGTAGGGGGCGTGCAGGAGGCAGCCGATCAATGGTTCTTTCTCATCATTGATGTTTCTATCTTTCCCTCTCCCTTCCTCTCTGAAATCAATAAAAATAAAAACATTTAAAAGTTTAATGAAAAGGACACCAGTTTAAGAAAAATTATAAAAATGTTAGAGGAATTGTAATCTAATGAACTCCATTTTTATTTTAAAATATATTGTTATTGATTTCATAGAGGAAGGGAGAGGGAGAGAGAGAGAGAGAGTAACATCAATGATGAGAGAGAATCATGGATCGGCTGCCTCCTGCGCGCCACACACTGGGCATTGAGCCTGAAACCCGGGCATTTGCCCTGACTGGAAATCAAACTGTGACCTCCTGGTTCATAGGTCGATGCTCAACCCCTGAGCCACGCCGGCCGGGTATTAACTCCATTTGTAGAAAACAGGTTATCTCAGAGCATGCACTGAGATGCCCTGGGCTGGGAAGAGGACCCAGCCCCACCCTCAGCTGCCAGGTCCTTTGCATGTGAGTGGGACTCTGCTCAGCTTCGGGTTCACCCGGCCCAAACCAGAGGGAGGGTCCTTCTCCAGTTTCCAAGCAATGGAAGCTTCCAGATCTCAGGCTTCCTCCAAGGCTCTGAGAGCTCAGATCAGATTCTCAGACGGGGCTCAGGGACAGAGGTCCTGGGTCCAGCTGAGCATAAATGTGTGTGAGAGTGTGTGTTCTGTGTTTGTGCATGCTGGTGTGTCTGTGTGCATGTGTACACATGTGTGGACATGTGTGTATATGTGAGCTGTGTGAGAGTGTGTTTGTACATGTGGATGTGGGAGGGGTCAGGGAGTCACACAAGAGGAGAGCCTAGTTTGAGGGTAAGAGCTGGGCCCTGGAGCTGTTCTTTGGGGTTGGGATGGGGGCTCCTGACCTCTGGCAGGCTGCTTGGCCTCTCAGGGTTTCTCTGTCTGTGTGTCTGCCGCGTAGACTGTGTGCGGTGGGTACAGCCCTCGCTTTTCCAGTCCAGTGAGATGATTGGGTGCCCAGGTAGAGCACCCACCCAGCGTCTGCCCGGGAAGAACGGTTCAGCAGGTCAGTTGAGGCGGTCATCAGGCCTCCTGTTTCAGGGAACCCTGCTGGTGTGAAGGTCACCTTAGGAGGCTCCGTCAGCCTCAAAGGGCCTTCAGTTCAATGTCTGCACACAGCGGGTCCCCGCTCACCAGGAGCTGCTGCTCTGAAGAGCCTGGACCCGAAGCCCAGGCTTCCACGTGCGTCTGTGTGTTGAGGCATTGGGGGGGGGGCGCGCGCGGGGGG